GCCTCAAAAGTTGAACATTGTTCAACTTTGGATCTTGAAAATCCTGAGAATCTCCGCTCGCCTGCCCACAATGCATTTCGGCGAAAGCGAAAAAAAGTGACGTCACCCCATTCAAAGTGAATGGGCAGAAGCGTTTCAAGATTTTTTAACGCTGCCGTGGAGACGGCCCGTTATACTTACGCTGCATTAAGTAAAGACTACACACAGTGGCTGCAGACAGTTTTGGGTCAGTGGAATGCACCCTAAATCTTTGATGATGTTTTCATGTACAAGAGTACATGTAAAAGGTCTAAGAGATGTGCATTCTAGATGTGTTGTGTTTTATTTTTTACCTCTGCTAAAACTATGTTGCAACTGTCTAATGGTAAGGGCTGCAAAATTCATCCATCCAGCTGTGTCGGTGGCTTGATGACAGATCCCCTCTGTGGTGCATTGCATTGTTCTCAAAGACTCCTGCAGCCAGCCCTAGAGACATCCACCGGCAGCGACTATCTTCCACAGTGTTAGTTTCCTGTGAGCCACAGAGGGACGGCACTTAGGCCCCATTTACATGGGAACGCAAACGCAAACGAAACGCAAACAAACCGAATTCGATATCAAAAAGGTCTTCCGTTCACACGGATACGGCTCAATAAACGTGTCCCTTCACACGAGACTGCTCGACCCGCTGGAGATGCTGTAGTACATATGCCGGGCCTGTAAGTGGCGCTGTACTTCCGCCACAAAATACACCAAAAGCAGCGAAGAAGACCCCAGAGCATGGTTGCCATGGTTGCCTGGTTGCCCTTCTGTTTATTCTCCGGATTTAGCAACATGTAGTTCATGTAGTTCTCCATGTCCACTTGTTGCTGATGGTTGTGGTAGAGGAGCTGTAGATGTTGCACTAACATCTGTAGCATGGTCAGTAGCATGGTCAGTAGCTACTGACAGTAGCTACTGACCATGCTACAGCAGTGAGCAGCAGAGGTGGGGAGAGGCGGGGCTATGGCTTCATCGTTATCAGGAAATGATCGTATAGGACGTACACACGGAGCCGTTTGGCCCCCCAGAGCATTCCGTCCGCAGATCTATCCATCTTGGGACCCGTTATCGTTTTAGGGGTCCGTTTCCGCGGTTCCGTTACGGCCTCGTGTGAACGAACGGGCTATACGAAAGAGAAAAGTAGCAGATACAACCCGTTTCGTTCCCGTGTAAACAGCACCTTAGAGCCACAGAAGCTGGATCGACTAGCTCGCCAAAAGAGATCCATTCTCTTACACTGATTAACCCTTGACAGAGTTACTATGCCAACAACTATGCTCTACTAAGGGTGTCAGACATTCATACTTTGTACCAGTCACAGACCACATTCAGCTTATCCAACACGCTTTAAACTGTCATACAAAAGTAATGCAAAAACAACAATCCATATAATCATCATGTTTACCCTTTGTGTATTTACAGCAGCCATTCCTCTGTTAAGGCAGTTGTTTGTGATGTATTGTTTCACTTTTCAATTGGTAAAGCATTGATGACAAAGTAATGTTTTTGAATAATAAGGGTACACACATCTTACTGCTTTCTCTTATATGATAAGATCTGTTAAAATCATGTTGATGACGCTTTTTTTTCAGTATGAAATCAATTGTTTTGTTTAAGTCAAATCCTTAAAAAGATATTTTTACATTTTGGATATTTAAGGTCTTCTGTATGGATACATTTTTATTTTGTACTTGATGAATGTAGTTTTGCACAGAAGAAAGACATTTCAGGTGACAATAACAAAGCTTCTGCATATTTAATCATGCTTCTCGAGGACTCTGGTCCCAGGTTTGAACAGGTTTAAAGGAAAGCTGATGTTTATGCAGCAGAGAGGACGGTTTGTGTGTCCCTCTGCAGGCAGGGAGGATGGTTTGTGTGTCCCTCTGCAGGCAGGGAGGAACTACAAAGCTTTGTGTTGGTCGCTGTGGCTTTGAACATCTATTATAAAAAGAAGACCTTTTTATTCTCAACCGAGATCAGTCACCATTTATAATCCTTTAGAGACCAGAATAATTATTACAGTTCATAAAGGATTGAATGTGTGTGTGTGTGTGTGTGTGTGTGTGTGTGTGTGTGTGTGTGTGCGTGTGCGTGTGCGTGTGCGTGTGTGTGTGTGTGTGTGTGTGTGTGTGTGTGTGTGTGCGTGTGCGCGTGTGTGTGTGCGTGTGCGTGTGTGTGTGTGTGTGGGTCTGGGTCTGGGTCTGGGTCTCTTGCTGGTTTTGTGTCTGACTCCATAGAATTTGAGAACTATTTTTATCCCACTTTTGACTGTCTTTGAAAAGTGGAATACACATTTTTGATACACTCTTCACTACAACTGTTTCAAAGAAATCACAGATAACAATTTAGCATTTATATAAATAACACATTGGTTAATAGTATAATGTGGCCTTAGCTGGATAGATAGCCACAGTGAGGCCAGTTGGTTGTCCATTTGAATGTTAAGCTTCTCTTTCTCTCTGTGTATGTAAAGCGACCTTGGGTCTCATGAAAGGCGCTATATAAATCCAAGCTATTATTATTATTATTATTGTGTTGTTTATTGATGTAGCTAATTGTTGGTGTTACCCACCATACTTCCATTGACCCTTTGAGTGCCATGGACAAACCAAATTAACAAATCAGTACATTGCTACTACAAGGTGCTTCCACAAGGTGTCCTGGCTAGCTTTAACATTTACACATACTGTTGCAGGCACAGGAAAACTTGCTGTTGATGCTCCTTGGTTATGTTTGACTTTCACTCCAAATACAAAAAGGGCCTGTAGCTCTTTTCTGACCTTAGTTAACTACTTCAAAGTGAAAGTCATTATCTTCACTGAAAAGCTTTTATTGGGAAAACAGCAACAATGTCAACCATGGAATAGTGTTGAAACCTTTTGTTAACTACTGTTTTAACCTGTATTTGTATTTGTCTGGTCTGAAATAGGTCACAGAATGTCAACGCAACATCATTTTCATCATGACTGTATTTATAACATATTAAACAATGTTATCTTCAACTTGCAATTTCAGATTCAAACAGTAGTGTTACATAAATAATAACGATGGTCAGTGTGGATACTCTTTACATCGATGCTATCCTAACAATATTATTCTTTATTATTGTAGTAGATTGAAGCTACCAGCGGCCTAAGTCGCTCCTTTTCTTTCTCTTTCAGTAATCTTAGCCCATATATAGTTACAATCACTACTTCAATGACTGCTATGTGTGCTGTACGACTAAAAGGCCTTCCTGAGTGCATTGACGGATAAAGGCCAATGAAAGCACGGCATAAGTTGTGTCTTAAAGTTGTAGCTTGATGCTAAATTATCTAAAAATAGAGCGTTGCATTTTAAATGAATGGCCACTGATTGCACAATGGCCCAGAATAGCTGAGTTCAATGATAGTCTATTAATGGGGGTCCTTTGTGCTTTACAGAACTGTGATTGCTTATACCAGGATCTCAACTGCTTCCAATCACGTCAGTCCAGTCTCCAGAGACAGGAAAAATAGACTTATTTATAGCTAAGAATGGTGATGATTAGAGGATAAGTCATTGTTTAACCTAAAAATAGTTTGAAAAGAGATGTAACAAAACCTCATATCTTGTATTGGATTCATATTCTCGTTTAAGGCTACTCATGTTTCGTAGTATCATCACATTGAAATATGAAAGAGGTCAAATGTGCGTGTGCACCCATACACACTTGCACAATTAAGATAAAATAATTAAAGTATATGTATCACATAATGCAAGATGTGAGGAGATCTACTCTTTTTCATCAAGGCTTTACACGAAACTGATGCAAAGACAAAACATTGCAGTGTATCTTCTGTAAACCTCAAAATCCTTCTTAATATTCACTCCACCTTTTAGTGCTCAATATGGCAACCCACTGAGAACTCATTATGTCAAATCAATTCCTTTCTACACACATCCATATGACAAGCTCCTAAGCACTCCAGCTTCCGGCATATGTGGGCATCAGATAGGAACAGATTCATGGCTTTGTGTGATGAGCACACGCGATTATACACTGACACATACTGTACACCATCTGCAGTGCTGCTTCTGCATCACTGCATGTAGCAGAGCAGAAGGGGGCTCATAGGACATGTTAGGAGTCATTGCAGAACGTGGGGAAAGCAGTATTTTGAGGGTTATCAGTAATGTGAGCTGCAGTTTTTTTGACTGCAGGCTGCATGACGGAAGTCAAATAAAGACACTTAACATAATGGTTTTTTTAAACATGCCTCACCAAGCCTTAGGCCCTACTCAATGTGGTTATTCACATTCAAATGAGATGTCTGGAGGAGAGGGGACCTTTTGCAAATCTCATTCTCATATAGGAGGAAGACAGTCCTTTGTTAAGACTATCTTTTGTCATATTCCCCAATTATTACTTTCTATTCATTTCCAACTCATCTCTGTGTCAGCTGTGGAAGACCTCCATTATTGACTTGAATTCAGATGAAGCTGCCCTACCACCCAGCAACCCACAGACACATCAACTCAGACACAGGGTCCCAGGCTTCTTTTAGTTTGTTTCCTGTTTTATTTTGAAAGTCAATTTTCTCTTCCCTAATGTGATTCATCCGAGCCTTATTATCTGCCTTATATTCCTTGCACATTTAGTCTCTGTACTCCCCTTGTCATATGCCAGTTTTTTATCGTTATTTAGTTGCTGGATTGAGTTTTGACCAACCCTTATTTGTTTTTTAGCCAATAGATGAACGTTTTTTAAAGAAAATTGTGACAATGTTGAGTTTTATTATAGGGTTGACAGGGTAAACCTTCCTCATAAAAAGACACAGAGCTACTTTTTGAAAATGTCCTTGTTGTGAAATGTCCTCCAGTTTCCTATGCTCTTCCATCAGAAACAGTTAAGGAAAACTCACTCACATAATGTCAGTAAAATGGTGAAAATGTTTTCTTTCTTTTCCTCTCCAGCTCCACTTTCTGCCGGTGGCGCCCCCTGCTGTTGAGGCTGTGGAATGAGCCTGTTCGGCAGGAAGGCGCTGACTTTGCTGAGCAGCGTGTTCGCAGTGTGCGCCCTCGGCCTGCTGGGGATCGCTGTGAGCACCGACTACTGGCTGTACCTGGAGGAGGGGGTCATCCTGCCCCTCAACCAGAGCACCGAGGTACGCATGTCCCTCCACTCGGGCCTCTGGAGGGTCTGCTTCTTGGTCGGTGAGTTAGAACGAAGTCTGAAACATATAGATTAAAGGTCCCCTTTTATGCACAATCCACTTGTTAGATGTCTTTTATACATAAACATGTGTCCCCTCTGTGTAAAGAGATTCTGAAAGTTTCAGGAAGAAAGATTCTCTCTCTTTTTGTCCTGATCCATTTAAACCTGTCTGAAAATCAATTTATCAGATTGTGGCCACTTTGTGATGTCACAATGTTTTGTTGGGTTGTGTAACCATTAGCCAATCACCAACCAAGGTAATACCTGTCCACCTCATAACCTGAGTCTCCTCCTAGAGCACCATTGTGTTTTGTTAAACCAATCATCTGGCAGAGGGGCGTTCGGCGTGGCAGCTCATTTGCATTTAAAGCTACAGACACAGAATCAGCACTTTTGAAACAGGGCTGAAACAGAGGGGATTATGGGATGCTACAATGCATGATATGTTTGGTATTTCGAGCCAAAGACTTCAGAGACATGTTTTGTATAGTATATCTGAACCTATAATATATTGTTGAAAAAAGAGTATAATAAGGGACCGTTAATTTATCCCTTACTTTACAAGACAAATTAAACTACATGTATTTAATGTGAGTCAGTATTTGCTATGAAACAAAGATTAATAACGGATTGTGTAATTATTAATTTGCTTAGTTATAATTATTATAATGATAAGTGATATGGCAGATTTCAGTAGATGCATAACATTTGTGTTTAGTTAATAAGGAAGTAAGCTTCAAAATGAATGCAGAAGAACAACCAAACTTCAGGCTGAAATGATTGCAGCATATAACCATCCATTAGGCATGAAAAAACACAAAGCCAAATCCTAATGTCATCTTTTAATGGTTTATACTATTAATACAAAGAAAACAGAAATAATTGAGTGTACAAATAGATTAGATTACCAAGGCATGAACCAGAAACATGTTTTTCCTACACAATTATTTCTTGGATCTGGGCCTCAATGCCTAGTTTCCAGTAATATTTGTATTGCACATGCACATTAACCTTTGTTTCGTTTTAATGGCTGCAAATATAGAAGCCTTTGCTTAATGTTTGAACAATTGAGCAGGACATGATATTTTTACTTAACATTTTCAACACTCTACTCTAATGTAAGGGCGCATCCTTGTCAAGTGTCAGAGGTATTTGTACTCCTGTTGAAAGACTGGCATACAGTAGATGAATGTCTTTCAGAGTGACTTACCCAGTGGCTGACTTTTATTATTGGCCTGAAAAGGAACCATGGATTGATTGACAGCGTTTTTGTTCTTTCTTTTTGACCGTGATTTCATTTCCACCATAGATGTCAAGAAGAAAGCAATTATTGCAAATAAAAAATAAAAGCAAAGGCACATTGCATGATTTCTCCCTTTCTTTACCTTCTTTTCAAGACATGTATTCCTAGCTCATCATCACAAGGCATGATTGTAGGTCTGATTGGAGAGAGAAACACTATCTTTGGTATTTCTCTATATTATATTATTTTATTAGAGACACACACAGCCCTCCCTACAAGTGTAAACCAGACTTTGGCCCTCTGGTATTAGCAACAGTTAACTGTATCAATATGCTATCCTACTCTGATTGGATGGTTACTGTAGGTAGATAGAGGTAGGTGGTTTGCTGGCATTTCAAAAAGTAAAGATAAAAGGATTAACAAATATTTTGTTCATTTGTCCTGTGATCCTTTTCAATTTAGTGCCAATTTATTCCATTAGCCCCTGTTCCACAACTGCCCTGTTTTCACGATCAATCAGTCAGTGATGCAATAATGCAGGCACTCCAGTTGTGATTAGACACCAGATGTTTTCCCCACAGCAGGCCATCGCTACAATAGAAATGGACTAATGGTCAATTGTGTGTTTTAGCTGCGATTGAGTGACCTTACTGCCCACTTAACACTTCAGAGTTGAGCCAGAAACGATTGCATGTGCATTTCATTCCAGCATGAGTTCAAGTAGAAGAGTGATATATATAAAGTGTTATATACCATGTTCAATATAGGGCACTGGACTATATGTGATGTGGGCTGAGAGGCGTGTAGCAGGATGAGTTGTGAGGGAAGCCATACCATGAAGTAAATAAAAAGAATTCAGCTTTCAGCTTACACTTACAGAAGCAAGTGGCAAGTGAGAAAAAGATGCTTGGGTTATCTGTCTTTGGTCTGATCTAAAAGTATTTACTTACAATATATTTGAGGTATTTTAACAAAATTGTTTATTATGCAGCACCAACACATATGCATTATAGTTTCTTTTTAAATTATGCTGAGACACAATATCACAAAATCCAACACTTCAAAGTGTGTGTGGTAAATGAAGCGTTGAGAAAGACATACGTTGGAATGTGTATATGTGTGTTTTGGTGCCAAACTGTGTACTGTATGTGTCAAAGTGATAAAGTGAAAGGTGCTAAAATAATGCTGGGTGTTTTCACACACATACTGACAACAAATAATTTCACATTTGCTTAAAGGGGACCTATCATGCCAAATGCACTTTGTGATGTCTTTTATACATAAATATGTGTCCCCGGTGCGTCTGGGAACTCACGCAGCGTCAGAAAATAAAACCCTCTCTCTTTTCCTCCGTACCGGGAGTACAACGAGTGGATACAGATTTCCATCCGAACTGACGTGTCCATCCGTGGTGACGTCGGCGGACCCACAGAAAGTTGCTATCAGAAACAATGCCTAACGTGTTTTGGACGTCTTTGTTTACATTAGCAAGCCTCGCTAACACTCAGAGCTAACCTGTACTGAAGAGCACATGTGTTTAAAAAGCAGGAAATAAAAAAAGAACTCACCTTGTGATAAACCTGCAAGAGAAAAAGCATTTAAGCTCCATACTGTTTCAGAAATAATCATTGACGTGGTTTAAACAGGATGGGGTTTTATCACAACCGAATTTAACTTTATCTCCGGTAGAATTCTGATCAGGCATTAGCTCCGCCTCCTCTTATTTATTTATTTCAAGCTAAGGACCCAAAATCTGCGTTTCTCTAACAGGGCTGCAAAAGAGGGGTTTGAGCAGTATGAGGCATGGCTACAATGGGTGATCTGTTTGGTATTTTGAAAAAAAAACTTCACAGACATGTTTTATATAGGTATGGCCCTATAATATATTTTTCAAATATAGCATGATAGGTCCACTTTAAGTAGAATTTAAAAGCCTCAAAGAGGAATCCTTAAAGTACATACAACCATTTCTGATTTATTTTAGCCAGGATATGTATAATAATCATGCAAACTTTACAATATGTCTGTGTATTCTGCTTGCATACTGTACATGCTTCTGTGTATGACTTTTCTTTTCACAGTTCACTAATTCACGGTTTGATCTGTGGTGCTGAATCCTGATTCCTCTCAAGATTTCTGTGATATTTAATTCAATATTTTCTTTTCCATTTTCTTTGCTTCAGGTGAGGAGAAAGGCCGGTGTTTTACTATTGAGTACATGATGCCCACTAACATCCAGATGACCTCTGATTCAACAATCAGTGTCCTGAGTAAGTAAATGTCTACTCTCCAAATATAAGGAATGCTTTAGTTGATGAAAATTATAGTGTTGTGTTATTGAAATATATAGCTTTTAATTAAAGAAGCAGCTCGTGGTTGTAGAAGAAGCTTGAATTATGTGTTAAATGTACCTTACCTCAGCTTCCAGTTGGCCACTAGTGCCCTTCAATCCACCCTATACTGTTGCAGTAAAGCAGGAACAAACTGTTTAACTGGTAGTTAATATAACACTGGGGAAATGATCCAAACTTTAGCTTAACTTTGGTGTTTACTTGGGTGTCTCTTGTTTTACAGATTTTATTTGATGCAGCATGTTTTGTCAGTTCTCTGATTTGTATGTGACAAGTCAAACTTGAGTTAAGGCTGAGATTGATTGAACTGAGACAGGAGTATTGTAAGAATGTAAAGATGTCGAGGTGAAAAAGAAGGCAGAAATAGTAACATAAACTTTAACGTGTATGCACTATGGTGAATAAGGAAGTGTACATGTGAGAAAGATATAATAAGAGTGCCTAAATCAAATACAAATATTTGCAGTCAGGATTGACTTACAGCTAAATTATCTTTTTTCTTAAAGGTCCCATGTCATGGCCATTTCTACTGATCATAATTCCATTGTTGAGGTCTACTAGAATAGATTTATATTGTGCATTTTTCCAAACTCACATTGGTTTCTCATACAGCATCTCTGTAAACTACGTGTATTCACTGAATTTCACTCTCTGCCTTTAACGGCTCGTTGTAGCTCCAATAGCTCCAACCCCCACCCTCCCTGTGAGCACAGTGTGCTCTGATTGGTCGGGACGTTGTGAATCGCGCTGAGCTCCGTGGAGGTGTTGTTTCCTTGTTTATATATAGCGATACACAGCCAAACTCATCCTGAGCACACACAAACTCACAGCCGAAGTAAAAACAATAAGTGTGGCTTGATATTGAGTAAGAAAAAGGTTGATAAACGCTGTGAGAATGGGTCTGCAGAGAGAATTTCGCCGCGATCCCAACTGTCTGTTATCAGCCTGCAGCCAGGGAGGAGAAATCAGCAGAGCAGCCTGCACTGAGTGTGTGTGAGTGAGGAAGTCCGTGGATTGGTCAATTTAGACCAATCAGCGGGGGCTTAACGTAACGGCTCCGCGGATTGGTCCATTTCGTTCCGGGTACGGGGTTACGTCACCCCGTCCCGGAAGAATCAAATGGGCAGTATCTCCAACGAGGCGTTTTGGGGAGGTATTTTCTGTGTTAGAGTTTTACTCGCTACAGGGTGTACTTTGAGGGTTTTGACTCTGCACACCGTTTACATGCATAAAAACCTTCATAACACACAAGGGGACGGGTAATAACCGGAAAAGCATGACATGGGACCTTTAAAACCAAATTAAAGTTAAAATCGAGAAAATCATACTGCACAAATATTTCTTGCCACAAGGTTGAGCCATTAATTTAAGTACACGTCTTCACACCAGTAAAATTAAGTTAATATACCTAACGAATTAGATGTCACTCTTTATTCAGAACCTAACTTTTTCCTGAATGTGCCCTTGTTTCAGACATGACACAAATCTGAAAAGACTCACTTTCACTTTTTACATTCTAACAAGTTTCTGTGATGTTCGATATCTAGGGTGGATTGTTAAAGGATAGTCAGTGGCCCAATAAAGAGCGAGTTTCATTAAGGATGAACCCTTAAACATCTGGTCCACTTAGCAGGAGGAGAGACATGTTGTGTAATGGAGATCACAATGGGGGTCCAGAAAGCAGCATAAAAGACTTGCTTTTCCTCTGGGAGGGGCTGTTCCATTTACTCACAGTAGGGAAGTCCAGCTTCATGTTGATATAATTACGCAACCATGACCTGAACCCATGAGATACTGAGACCAACCTCAGTAGAAACAACTTCTGAAGTCAAACTTCAATTCAGAGTTTCACAAAGTCAGTTGAAAGATCAAAGTCCCATAGAAGTGATAATGACAGTTGTCCTTGTCTTCTTCCAGAGATGATCCGCTCGTCCACACCCTTTCCTCTGGTCAGCCTCTTCTTCATGTTCATCGGTTTTGTACTCAGCAACATCGGCCACATCCGACCCCACCGCACCATCCTGGCCTTCATTTCTGGAATCTTCTTCATCCTGTCAGGTATTTGATTAGGTTTGAACTCACATCTCCAAATCAATAGTATCCTCAAAAATGTACACACCTGATAGATGCATGTGAGAATGTTGTCATGGTACTGAGTTGGTTCAGGTCTAAAGTGTTTCAATTACATTTCAAAAGAAAGCACAGTGTTGCATACACATAATAATATTGTTTTTAATACTGTATGGCAACAAGCCTGTTTGGAATCACCCCCCTCCCTTTTATCTACAGCCATTAAAGTGTTTCTGTCTTTGTTTCTCTGTCTGCCTCAGGTCTCTCTCTGGTGGTTGGTCTGGTGTTGTACATCTCCAATATTAATGATGAGATGTTGAACAGAACCAAAACCAATGAGGCTTATTTCATCTACAAGTACGGCTGGTCATTTGCCTTTGCTGCCATCTCCTTCCTGCTCACTGAGGTAACATCACAAAATAAAATCTAAATAATAAAACATTATAATTTGCATGGCTAGGTTTCCCAAGCATGCATCATAACCAGTTCTCTAACTATTTTATAAGAAACCAATGTAGGGTCTGTTAAGGTGCCTTTAGTATGTTGTTGGGAATTGGTCTACAATTAACATTTTCATAACTATGTTAATGCACAAGAAATGTGGCTTTCACTTTTTTACATCTCTTTTTTGTTGTTGCATTGTCCTTACATTATTATCTAAAGAAATTGGCCTTGTTGGGAGGAATGTCATCCTTAAGCTTTCACAAAATGGACATAAAAAACGTGCATCACATTAGGTGTTTTGCATTTTAGTGTCTTTACTTTGCCAAATCCCTTTGTTCAGACATGCACAACTGTATGTATTATGTTGTGATCAATAGTCCACTGAAGATGATATTTTAAAATATTAAATAGCTGAAATATTTTAAGTTATTATTCATATTTTTATTCTGATTCTTTCGTGGATAATTCATGCTGGCTTTTAACCAAACATTAAAGGACTGCACGTTGCTTTTGATACTAACTATTCCCAAAAGTCTGTTGTCACAGTGACAGTATAAAAGAGCAGGTATTAAACAAAGGATGCAAAATAAAAAAATCCACATAGCACCAATTCAACTAAACCATTATTCAAAATGTCAATTTACGAGGTTAACTGTTGCTGATAGTTAAAGGGGGAAATCATTTATCATTAAAAAAGGTTTCTATTTCTATAATCTGCAATTGAAATGATTATTTTCTATGGTGGAAAGTGACCTGAATTCCACAGGTGAAAAACAATGTATATTGGGAGAGTAAAGTAAACTGTGTGCCTCTTTGCCTGGTTCCCCTCCCCCAGGCTGCAGGAGTCATGTCGGTGTACCTGTTCATGAAGCGCTACACAGCAGAGGAGATGTACCGGCCTCACCAGGGCTTCTACCGGCCGCGCCTCAGCAACTGCTCCGACTACTCCGGCCAGTTCCTCCACCCGGACGCCTGGGCGGGGCGCGGGCGAAGCGCCTCCTCCATCTCCTCCGAGGCCTCGCTCCAGATGAACGCCGCCAGCTATCCTGCTCTCCTCAAGTGTCCCGAGTACGAACAAGTGTCCTCCTCACCGTGCTGAGGCAGACCATAAGTCAGCACCGCAGGGGTCATCTATATCTATCTCGATATTGGAGTATAGTGGTGCGATGATTTGATATTATCTTTAATCGCACCCCTCTTCTCTCTACCCTCCTTACTGCCAATTTCTTTGTTTACACTTTTTGCTTCTGTGGGGAGCAAAACCTGAGGTGAGGGTTAGCTGGTTCACTTTATTCTCCTCAGCTCAGTGTTGTGTCACAGGGAGCTGTTAGAGAATGAGAAGGGGAAGGGTTTGACCAGGTTGTACTTTCCTCTGTAGTTGTTAGTGGTAGAAACTAGAAACCTGCTAAAGCGTTGGTAGGAAGAAGTCATCTGAAAGGAGTAAAGTGAGAAGCAACAGGCAAGCTCACTATTGGTGTGTATAGTACAATCCAATCCTGATAGCTTTCTGACTGAAGTACACACTGCACCTCTGCAGACATGCAGCGTTCTGAACTGGATAGGCAACAAAGTGCAATGGACTCAGAGTGCAAGTTTTTTTAAATCAAATGCATGTACTTTCAGCCATGGAAGCAGAAACTAGTTAAATCACCTAGGTAAAGGAAACACCTTCTTAAAATGATTAATCTTATAAGGTGCTTAGAGAAACATTTCCTAAGGTAAAAGCACAAATTGTGCAGACTTGAGATTTATAAGATCCTGTTTTTCAAACTGCAAGCTGTTTTAGTGAGCACAAGGAAGTTTCACTCACATCCCCAGTTTGTGCTGGAAAATAGCTTTTTCAATATTATACTGTTGGTGTTTTCAGACACATCAAACTGTTTCAGGCATGTCCACGTAAAGTCTTGTGCTAGAACTCAGCTTAGGCTTATGAAACACATGATGAATGTGGATTTCAACTATGATCTTTTTAAAACGAATTATTTGAATAGGATTCAAGGCCTAAAGGGTTGTATGATCTCTAAACCACTTGCTGATCACACTGGCTCTCAGTTAACAGACAGAATCACTTATATTCCTCCTGTAGGTCCTGTGAATAGTAGCTATTGATTATGTAGCCACGGGTGTTTTCCTTTAAACTGTAACTGAAGGTGGAAGACTGCTTTTTAGTTTTTACATTTATACATGGTTGAATTACACCATGTGAAATGCTTCATTAGGGAGCTTGTGTTCATTGGTCCCCTTCAGCAGTTAAGTATAAAAGAAAGCTTGTTTTGTAGGCTGCTAGTCCGGGCATAAACAGTATGACTTTGAAGGCATTCATCTGAATATAATAATGGTTATATAAATGTTAATGTTTTATTGTTTATTCTTGTAGTTAACAAAAGCTTTGATTGCAAAGCACACTATTAAGAATAGGACTGCTTTACATCAAACAATACAGATATAAATAAGGCTTTATTCTCAGAGAACCTATGTTTCCTGTTTTAAGTGGTGTCCTTAGTTAGTGGTGCAATTAAAGACAACAAGTGTATCGAACCAACATTTAAAAAGAAAGCAAGTTGTACACGGCCAATACTGTTTGTGTTGATATCAAAATCATTAAGTAGTTATGCTTTTAAAGGGGTAAAGATGGAGTTTGTGTGGAGATGGAGAATGTATATGAGTTGGGGGGTTGTTAAAGAATATTTTGGAATGGAGCCATTGTGAATGTAAGATAAGAAACTGATTATTCGTATGTGTTTGTGTACTTTAAAATACATCTCCTACAGAGATACTTTAAACCAAGTTATAGATGCATATTTTTCTAATTGCCCTCCTTTGACAGAGTATTCTTAGTTAACATATACTGCTATCCTCAGTGTGCAGATGAAGACGTTGTTTCCAGGTTAAGTGGTTTATTTAGTGTTAAATATAAACATTTTATGTGGCATTATGTGTGAGTAAACAAATAACAAAGCATCTTATCTTGTGCCATAACTGTAATGGTCAGTATTTCTTGTTGCATGGTGTGAACTCCACATATTAATGGCATGCAACATTTAACATTTCTATTTATTTAACATAACACTAAGAAACAAACTGTGCCAAGCTAAGCTCACCCATTTTGGTAAATAGACCATTTGCATTTTATTTATTTTTAACACTGTAAATGGAAAATATTCACTGTGTATATATACTTAATTTGTATAGAAAGAAGGATGTCTAAAATGACAGGTTTGTTGTTGGCTAGATTCATCTGCATTATATCTGACAGCTGCTTGGATCACAATGAGAGGTTTTGCACAAGGTTCTACATAAAGTGAAAGTATTCAGACTGTTTCATTGTCAGATATGAAATGTAAATATCTGTATTTTTCAAAATGAGTGTTATGTTCATGTGAAAGTGTACTATGTACTCAACAAAATAAAGGTTAAATTGGATTTCATAAATTAGCTTGGCCTTGTATCCATTCTCTTTTCCTGTATCTGCATTATAATAGAATACATTGTTATACCTCAGTGTAAAAGTGCTAAGGTCAGAAGTTGAGTTTGTTGGACACTTCAACATTAAATCATTATGCAATAATATTAAAACATAAAACATATATTGGGCTGAGTTGACTTTTGGTTCCTCTTTGCAAAAAAATATATAAATAAGATCTGATATTATAAGATACAGTATAATAATGTTGTTCTATTAGGCCCAATGTATTGGGTTTGTGACATCTTGTCAGTTCATTAAGAATGTGAATGATTTAAATATGCATCCTCAAATTACCCATGTTATTAACATGCTATACCTACATGTGCTGATTTTCTAAAAGAAGCTTAGCCACAGAGGCCTGAGGAGTTCAAAGGTCAGCAGTAAAAGGAGACAGGTGGTCCATCCCTCACTCAACAACATGGGAAAGTAGACAGACCTGAGACAGACCATGCTTAACCTTCTAATTGCAATTGGGAAAACATTGTTTTGGTCAAGTACTGTGTAACACTGACAACAGTCGTATAACTACCACTTATGGTTTATGTGTGGCACAATGTCTCCCTCTGTTGGGACAGGAGGGAATTCATATGAATTGGCAAACAGCTTTTATGTGCATTTATCATCCCCTTCTGGGATAGAGTGTGGATGGCACAACCATAATTCCTTAATATAATCCCTGACCTTTTTAAAAACCGAAATAATGCCCTGTACAAAACATCTGCTAAACTCCTTAGCAAAAGCTTTTTGATATTTAATTATGTTTGCTAATACATTACGTTGGTGACAGATAGTATCCCAATCTTACATTGTGTACGACCTACAAGAAGGCTCAGAAAGGGGGAAAAGGCATTTGAAGATTGAATTGGTAATTTCTGTCACTCATCCATCCGGGTAATAAGAAGTAATGGGGGCAATCAGCGGGTTGGAAACGGCTAATCTGCATCATGCACCCATGTGTTGTCATCTGTTGACCTGATGAGCTGGTGTTGCTTAAAGATGATATCATATCCAGAGTGGACAAAGTCCTCTGAACTTTTGCATAAACTGTCTTTTAGCTCCATCTAGTGTCATTATTGTGTAGTCACACATTACATTTCATTTAGCTGACCCTTTTTACAATAAGTGCAATGAACCATACGGATAAATACCAACAGCTTCAATGCCAAGCCGTTTTAGGTTGTTCACAAAGGGCTTGCCAAGAGTCATTTGAATTGATATACATGAAGCATATTGCATAATTAAAAATAGATGTTTGAGTTTGAGATCCAATTCTAGTCATGTAGACATTGCTATTAGGCTATCCACATCTAGCATTATCTGTGTGTTGTAGATTTCAAATTCATTTTTACACCTAATCACCATTCATTATGCTCAATTAGTAGACTTGCTTGAGGGCAAGTTTTACCCTTTTCCACGCTGCGCTCCTCCTGGCATCGACCCCCCCCCTCACTTTGCCAGAGGCCACTTGACAGTGTTGAGGACCCTCTGGATTGTTAATGGCGGTCTCATTTCATTTAATTTCAAACCTTTATTTATCCAGGTGTATCCCATTGAGATCATTGATCTCTTTTTCAAGGGAGACCTGCAGGTCTGGTCTGACAATATCTCTATATAGTGCAAGTATTCATAGAAATGGTTGCACTTCATCTAATATTCAGGCTCTCTTTTTTAGATGAAGCTATAGCAAGATTAGTCTGCAAACCAAAATATTACAGAACAACTTAAACAAATGAACACTCATGATGTTGTTCTGTTTGACACTCAAGGCGTAAAATCATGTATTTAAAGTCAACATCATCAAAACACTTAGCTATCAGAAATAAAGTTTCTGTTTTGATCATAGACATAGCATTCTCACGTGTATAAAATACTTAACTTTTGATTTGGGTGTTCCAACATGTATTGTTATTCATCAATGTTATCTCAGAAAAATTAAGATGTAATTGGATAACTGATATTAATCTATGTAATATTGTATTAAAGATAGTTAAATCCAAACAGAAAGTATATGATTTTTTAAATAATTTCAAATGTTGTTATACAATATTGTCACACTGGAGCATTCACAAAGCAACACATCAATGGTTAACCAATAATTAGTTTCATAAGACTATGAAATATTTTTTAAAGGCCTTGACCTTCACTTCAGTCAAAGAGCCTCATATTGCTGGAAACTGTTTTGTTAACTCATTTTAGTTTCATAAAGTCTTATCAGACCTGGGCAGAGATAAAAGCTACATAACTATACAACCGAAGGAATTCAAATTGAGGAAAAAAGGCAGCGCAGAATATTCCTATAGGAACATTAGCCTATACCATAATGATCTATATGCCAACTCCCATGAGTCCAGCATCACAGCACCTAGAGTCAGGTTATGAATAATGTATGTTTGTCCATCCACTTTTTTTGGGGCATTTTTCTTCCCTCTTTATACTAAGTCTTTCATTCCCTTTTCTCCATATATTTCTTTATAAAGGATTGTGGAAAAGGCAAATCTTCAGTCGACATCTGTTGAATAAGTTAGTGGGTCCATCTCCATTTGACGAGGGGCCTGAAGGATGAGCCTGACTCGTGTGTCAGGCAGTCTCATTAGTAGTAGCAATTGTTTCATTTAATCGGGTTAATGTCATCTATTAATTTCATTCCGAATAAATCTGTTTCTACACACACTGAAATAAGTAATGTATCATGCAATGCCCATTTGTTATCAACATAACCTAGCCGCAGGGACCTGTACATGTCACACAATAATGTGAGGTTCTTTTTTAGAAACAAAAATGTCCACTGTACAATTACCCATTGCTTAGAACTGAGATGAAAAAAAGTGGGAGGGACTCCAAAATCAGATAATCAAATAACAACGAGGGTTAAGAAATACTACCATCGAAGGATAAGCCTCAACAGTTTGTATTGGAACTACTGTCTTCTGAAGAAACATGTACTATGAAAACAGTTGTCAGTATGTTAACTAGTTCATTTGTTCCTGGTAATTCAGGTTTTCAGTGATTCTGTATCCCTTCATTATGTACAGGTAGCTACACAGCTCCGCAACTCTTGCTAACTTTAATGTATTATCATGTGCTGATGTTAACTATAGGCTGAAATACACCTGAACATGTAATGGAGAAATAGAGCTTATCTCTACCCAAAACCCATGATTGGGTACTTCCTGGAAGTGCATACTTTTATTCTACTTTTACATTTCATTTGTAACTACTTACAGTATACTTATATTACCATTACACACATTTATGTATCTAATAATATTATTAATACTATTATTATGATTATTATTATTAGTAGTAGTAGTAGTAGTAGTAGTAGTAGTAGTAGTAGTAGTAGTAGTAGTAGTAGTAGTAGTAGTAGTAGTAGTATTTATGTATTATTAATTATTTTAATTTAAGTAGTTTTTGGCTTTTTATTTGATATGTATTATATAAGGTTGTTGTGTATTTGTGTTTTTCTTCTCTTTATCATTTATTTGTTTCTATATGCAATCAAATGTCCCTTCTGGGATAAATGCATTACTCTTAATAGAGTGTGTACAGTCAAATCAAACTGCAGCATTGTGTCAGCTTTTACTAAACAAAGACAAGTTCAAATGAACGCTTGCTGATGGTAATGTTGTCTTTAATATAGTATTGCCTATAATACTGTATATACCTTTTCGACCCTCATAAGATTGTTCACGATTGTTTGAGTTGAATTTAATTGAAATGTAACTCTGAGTTTGTTATTTTGAGAAAACCGAGGCAACTGCTTGGAATGTGATGCATAGAACTTAGAACGTAGAACTTAGAACTTTGAACTATAACAGAGACCATGCTGATCGTCCAGAACAGTCATTGCACATAGATCTCTGAGGAGTGAACACACTGAGGCATTGAGAAACAAAATACCGCCTGCACTTACAATTATTACCCTGAGACTTCCTCGATGGAGCTTCTACAGGAGGACCCAGCTTTTTGGGTGGTAAGTATTACATTTGTTCAAATGTAAAGACAATGTTTTTGCTGACAGATCTCTATAATGCTCATGTTCTCTTCCTTATAGATGCATGTGTATTCACCTGATGTGGTTTGGCAAGAACAACCACAACCAGCACATGAGGAAGAGTACATCACTGGTTGTTATTACCCTGAAACTTCCTCAATGGAACCTCTACAGGAGGACCCAGCTTTTTGGATGGTACGTTTTACATTTGTTCAAATGTAAGGCTGCTGGATAGCTCAGTGGTTAGAGCTGGTGGCCCTAATGTGGTGACTGAAGCCTAGTAAGCCGGTTTGAATCCCGAGGCACAGACACTCCCTTCTGTCTCCCCCTGACACTCAATGTCAATGTTACTGAACTGTAGGTTTCCAAAAGAGTTGGGGCTAGTTCATTGTATGAAGTTTAAATTGTTAAATGTATGTTTAAAAAAGTGCAATGTAATATTTCTTTGTTAGTTTGAACTACACCAAAAAGGTTAGGTTACACTAAAAAATGTGTTCATCACTTGTTATCAAGTCAATGCTGATGTTCTCTTCCTTATAGATGAATCTCTATTCACCTGATGTGGTTTGGCAAGAACAACCAGAACCAGCACATGGTGAAGAGTTCTTCTGGCTGGATGGAAATGCCCAGCAGTTTCAGGGAAACAACATCTCTGTGTACAGCGAGGCTAACTGTTTCCTCACCAATGACGGTATTGAGTACTATCCCCTCCAGGCTCCAGTGATGCAGAGCCAGTCACTGCTTTACCCCCAAAGCAACACTTTGGTGCATGAAACAGCAGGCTGGTTCCCTGTGGAGAACAACATGCTGGAGTGGCAGACAGAGGCAAAGGCACCCAAACCAATATGGGAAGAGACACATTGAAACAGTATGAAGGAGGCTCTGGAGATGGAAAGGCAAAGCCTGACCAGCGAGAGAGAGACCTTTCAGAGAGAGTGTGCTGAGGAAAGAAATGCCTTTCAGGTGGA